ATCCCGTTGTTCGAACCCAAGAATCTAACTCCTCAATGACTTTGTCTTCTTAGTGGAGAAAAACTTGATTAAGAATTTCCTTGCTAGATCATCCCAAGTGTGGATTGAGTTCGCGGGCTCCTTTTGCAACCATTCCTTAGCTTCCCCCAGCAGTGAAAGGGGAAAAAGTGTCAACCTGACATAGTCCTTGGAAACGTTCGGATAATTGTAGGTATCCGTAATTTCCAAGAAATTTTGAATGTGCCTCTGCGGATCTTCATAAGATAGACCCACATATTTCCCTGTGGACTGAATCAGCTGTACCATGTACTGTTTGAATTCAAAATGCCTGTGGTTAGCAATTTCATTGTTATAAGGTACGAAACCTTTACCAATTTGCAATTTTAACTAATTGATTGCTTTTACATGTTCAAAACTAATTTGAGTATTAGAATAAACTATAACAGTTGATCTGGTTTTTCTTCGTTGAAGTTATTTGTGTTTATCGTTGTCATGTTTCGTTCACCTCTATTAGTCCGCGACTAGTAGCTTCGCTTGATTCTATGTATGATCGTGCTAAATCAATTTATTTCTAAGTTATCAGTTAGTTTCTAAGTTCTAGCTAATTTGTTTCCAGTTTGAACTAAAACTATAAGATTTGGGTAAGCTATACTCTAGCTCTATATAAAATGAAATAAAATAAAGAGAATAATACAAATAGCAGCCGTTGAGCTACAGTACTGGCTGCTACTAGTATGTATATTTTAAGCATAAACGAAGAAGAGTTTTCATATTGCTGACTTTCTCTGATTGCAATCTTTGGAAAGTTTTCAGAATTTTTTTTTTTGAATACTACAACTAACTGATTCCCTTTGAATGAGACTCCAGTTAGATTTTAAAGTTTATTGGTTTTGAATTTGTCATAATTCGCTTTAGTTATAAGATTCGTAATTTTTTATATATATATATATATATATATATATATATATATATATATATTCAGTATAGTAAATATACGAATTATATGTTGGACTTTAAGCATTGGGCTTTAAAGACTTTAAGCATTGGGCTTTAAAAGTCTAATAGTGTGAATTGGAAATGGTGAGAAATAAAATGGAGGAAAATAAAAATTTGAATGAAGTGAGCTTTTGTCTTGAACTTTGTCCCTCATTGGTGAGGGACAACTACATTTGTGTGTATATATATAGAATCACTTCTTAGAGCTCTTAAAAGGAGTTGAAGAGAATGAACCCTCGCGCCGTCGTCGTCGCTCGCTCGGCTTCGGCTTCGGCTTCGGCTTCGGCTTCGGCTTCGGCTTCGGCTTCGGATTTAATTAATTATTATTAAAAGCCAGTCAGTTAATTAACGAAATTAACTGAAATTTGAAATCCAAATTAACGAAATTAACTAAAATCTTGAAATTCAAATGCTGAACGTTTTTTTTTCCTTCTGAACAGACACTTTTCCTGAACAGTCACACCTCTTCCGATAATTGCTTATAAATTCTGAGGTATGGCTGCATTTTCGAAACACTGAAACATTACAGAACTTCCTTCCTTCTGAATATCCTGCATTCTATTTCGCAGAATTCTCTCAAATTCGTAAGTGTGATTTTGCTCCGTTCTTTGAGTTCGTTGGTATCCTGCAGTTTGTTTTGCCACTGTTGCAGGAAGGTTTATTCCGTTTCATCCTGGAAGGATTTAATCCATTACCTTAGTAACGTGTGAGGGGGTTAAAATTCCTTAAGGACGCACAAGCAAATTGTGGATTCGGAATATTTTTTATACTTTACTATTTTTCCCACTTTTTTAATTCTAACAGTCTTTCTGATTTTGCGTTTTAACACAGTAGCGTTCACAAGCTTAAGGAATTTTATCTAACGTTTATGTGTTGAAATATATATTATAAATTGTTACCTATATTTTGTATACTGGTTTGGAGACTAAAGCCTTCGTGCTTTCTACTCCAATAATTGTTCTGTCCGGTTTAAAGTATATCAAAACTTTACCGGAATAATAAACGTACGGGTTTGAAGTATATAAAAACTTTACCATTGTTACGTGTTGTATGTTTGGTTTGGTATTCAGTTTGAAGATATCAAAACTTCACTGATTTAACAAAGTTCTGTTTTGTTTCCAACTCTACAGAAAAATGACGAATGAAAACCAAACTAATGG